CAATAATAGCTGGAGACCCAAGTTTGGGAAACACTGGTATAGCATAGTAGCTGAGAACCTGAGCTATGCAGGAAGGGGAGAGGGCCTAAGCCTCCTTGGGCACGCAGAACTCACTGCGCAATCTATTCCCACTTCCTGTTCTGCACTTCAGTTATGATTACATTTATTTCTCTCCTCTTCACATTTTAGGCACGTCCAAAAGGAGAAGGCCTGACACCGTACCAGGGGAAAAAACGCTGCTTTGGTGAATACAAATGCCCCAAGTGCAAGAGAAAATGGATGAGTGGAAACTCCTGGGCCAACATGGGACAAGAATGTATCAAGTGCCACATCAATGTGTATCCTCACAAGCAGGTAGGACTGTTACAGGTGCTCCTCCATATGGTTCAAGTGAGCCTCCAAAAACTCGATATACAGAGTGCAGCATGCATGGGCTGTTTGCAAGAGGGCTTTGGCAAGCATCCCCATGCTGCTCTTGCAGCCCCAGCCCCCTGTCACACTTGGCCTTCTAGGGACAGAAAAGGTTCCCCTCCCCTGAATTAAACATATACATTGGAAGAAGTGGAACGTCAAGTAAGTTTTAATGCAATAGACTGAGACATTGCAAGACTGAGACTATGAGCAAGAGTGCTTACATGATTACTGAAAATTGTATATTCCAGTAACGCTTATTCATATTTTATTATGGGAAACACATGAAGAATGTTAGAAACAATGTCGAAACTTTTTTATTTTTAAAAAAGCCAACAGCAACAAAACTTTTCAAACAAACAAAACACATTTTCTTCTTATTCAGAATATCTAAAGTAATTGTAAACAACTGTCAAGAATTTAAGTAACCTTTTAATCCTCTTATAGTTGTTTCAGTTATCTGATATTGGGCCCAGATCATAGTTTAGTTTAAAAAACCATTAGATGTATTTGACAATTACTCCTAGTTAATGTCAAAGAATAAGAAATGTTTGGGATTATTTTTTATAGTACATTTGGGGTCTAAAATAACTCTGTTAATTCTTATAGGGTTTCCTATAATAGATTTTATTCACATACTTTCCCCGTTTATTATTTTTTAAAATGAAAAGTGAACTCATTTTTATTGTAATGTACTGCTTATGTGCAATCTGGATGGGGGGGGATGAGAATTTCCCATTAGTAGGGAGGGTGGAGGAAGTTGTTTTGTCCATACAGTATTTTTTAAATGAATCAATCTGATTCACATTTCCTGGATTAATGTATAGATTGGAACACAGTTATCTTTTGGTTTTTGCACTTCTGCAAGTTCTTGACTAAAAGAATTATACCAAATTGTCTTGGAAACTTGTGTTTTAGGTATAATGCAGCCCACCCCCCCCAATGTGTGCTTTGGGTAAAATGTGTACACAACTCTGCATTTTGTGAAAATAATAAAATGCATTGAAAAATAATGCAAATTTCTATGCATGTTTTTCCCTTTTTAAAAAAATCATCACAGATCGATATGAAAATCGGGAGGAATAACTTATGAATAAACACACGGGAGACAGACATGGAGCAGAATTTGACTGATCTATCCATCCCATTAGACACATTCATTGCATTCAGTGGGGACTGGAGAGCATTGCAATACATTTTCACATGTATTATTTGCATGTATAAAATTCCATTGCTAGATTGGGACATTTTACCTAAGGATAGTCAACTTCGGTGTGGATGCTGTGACTGAAAAAATATGATGATATTTGTGTCTTTCATGGGCAGAGAATGTGGGGTGTATTTACTAATCTCTTTGAGAGTTATACTTGATGCAATTGCAGTCGTTAAATCTTGACAAGGATCTGTGCTTGTATAATCGGGAAAGTGAAGGGTGGAAGAGTGTCAATTGTAAGAGGTAATGTTGGGGAAAGTGTATGACATTAAGTACGAAGAAAAGGTCATTTGGAAGAGCAGAGCAAAGACCTCCCCTAGCCACAGAAAATATTTCAGTGCTCAGATAAAGCTTTCAGATTAATTTAAAGTAGGTCAAAATGAAAACTGATCCATTACAAATGAGACTGGAGGCTGTGTGACTAGCAAATGATGACACCATGCCAGAAATTTAGAATCCATTCCAAAGCACAGTCTCTGCTCCTTTGCTGGCAGCAACAGCAGAAGCAGAGTGAAAGAAATCCCTTGTGTCGTTCTCCAAGATTATTGGGGTTCAGCAAAAGGGCTATAGCCATTAGGTAAAACCAGACACTTTGATGAATGGCTTGTTTACAAAATTTAGGATATGAGACCTGGCGGGTATATAAATTCAATAAATAAATAAAAAGTTGCTTATGGGTTGTAGTCCTCACCTTGAATATATATTTACACTGGAAGGGAATTGTAGAATGTTTGGACGCCTTGCCCTTTCCCACTGCATGTCAGAGTTGCCATTTTAGATTTCTGTATGTGAGGGGGAGCTAAGCAATTACAATAGAAGGCAGCAAGATTCTCAGCATGGTTTAAAAGCCTGCTGTTGGATATATTCAACCTTAAACACCACACATTTTGAAATTGGATTTTTAATGGTTCATAACTGTTAGCAATTATATCACCACAAGTCAAGTAGTCATCATTAGTACACTATGCAGCAGCATAGTCCCAGTAGACAGGGAGGAGGGATTGCTGCTGTCTGCCATGATGCCATCATTCTTGCCAGGCAACCCACTAGGTCTGTGTGTCTGCATATGGTGTTGAAAACACAGGATATGCTTACCAAAGCTGGCCATGATAATCTTCATAGTGATGCTGGATTCTCCAGGGTTTACAAACTTGGGTGAGTTTCATACCTGACTGGAGTAGCTCAGGATTTCATGGCTACCATGACAACTGTGGGCCTGCCTCAAATGGTACCTGGTCCCACACACAAATTGTAGGGCATGTGCTTGACTTGCTGCTTTGTCCTGGGCTGGGACAATATGGTCTGATGGCGGAGGAAGTCGGTGCGCTTCCCTTGTCATTGACAGATCACTGCCTGGTTAGGTTTAGTCTCTGGACAACTGCCCAACTCTGCAGGAAGGAGCTATTGAAATTGTCCATCCTTGGAGACTGATGGATCCAGGTAGAATCCTGATAGCTCCCTGTGTGGGTGGGAGAATTCCCACTGAAATAGATTGCAGTTCTGCCACTGTCCTGGTCAATCTGTGAAATATAGAAGTGGCCCAGTTATCAATTCTATTGCTTCTAAGCCTCTGGTGGAGCTTAGCTCTCCCCTGGGGCTTATAAAACTCTTTGGTTTACTGAGGAGCAATGAAACAAATGAGCAGAACACTGGAGTGAAAATACAGGAAGATTCATAGCGAGCCCAACCAAAACAGCTTAGAACTAGTTATTGAGCCTGTTTTGTGACAATGATGGTGGCAAAGGAATCTTCATTTTCCACCACCATGGCATCTGCTCAGTGTTGTCTGTATTGTCACTGAAATTGCCTTAGTCATCCAGGTGGATAACCTCCAATGGAAAATGGACTGGGAGGAAGCATCTCTGCTGATTCTCCTGGATTTCTTAGTGGTGGTCAAGTCCATCAGTTGTGGTACCCTTCTGGACCATCTTGAAAGGGTGGGGATTAGGGGCACAGTATTGAACCAACTCCATTGATTCATGAGAATTTGGACCCAGAAGATGGTGCCAAGGGACTGCTGTTCTTTCCCTTTGTTTGCGGGCTCTGGGGTCCTGGAAGGTTCCCTTCTGTTTCCTATGCTGTTTAATATACACTGCACATGAAAATGCTGGTTGGGGTGTGAGTCATGGAGTCATCAGTATGCTGGTGTGTCACTCAACCCTACCTCTTAGTTTTATATGATCCTAGGGAGGCAGTTGAATGGCTGAACTGCTGTTTGGTAGCTGTGAAAGACTGGATGAAGTAGAAAATGCTGAAATATAATCCACACAGAACAGTCATGCTGTTGGTAGGTACAGTGTCCGACTTTTAGTCTGGGTTCGTAACTTGTTCTGGAGGGGATCACACACCCCTTGAAAGATCAGGCCCACGGTTTGGGGAAGGGTACTCCTTGAATCCAGTGCTATTATTAAATATTCAGATAGCACCTGACTTTTCCATTCCTGATGGAGTAGGATATTGCCATGGTCATTCATGCCACAGTGACCTACGGATTAGGTTACTGCAAAACACTCTAGGTGGGTATGCCTTTGAAAAGCAATCAGGAACTGCAACTGGTGTTAAATGTCACAGCAAGGATGTTGATGGGTGTTAGGCATTTTTAGTCTATCATACCAGGATTTGAACAGGCTGCAGGTTTGTTTTCAGCATCAATTCAAGGTGCTGGTGGTAATCTTTAAGGCTTGGCACCTGGGCACCTTGAGGACCATCTTCTTCCATATGAGACTCCCCACTTGCTACAATAGTCATTTGAGGTACTGGTCCAGGCATGCTAAGAAATTACCAGTGCTACGGCCTCCTCTGTAGCAGTGCTCATCCTGCAAGAAGCCTTGCCCGAGGCCCACACAATATATATATATTTTTGGATGACTGGTAAAATACCTAGCTGATTAAAAAGCCCTTCCACTTAATATTTCCTCCTTTTGATATTGATGCTTAACTCGGGTGGTTGCTTTGGAATTGCGGTATTGTGTTTTTATACATGATTTGGTTGAATTGTAGATTGTTTTATATTTTGTTGCAACAACTAAATTTCTTCTAAAAATAGGAGGGATAGTAAGCTTTTTAAAAAAATAATAATGTAAAAATAGTGTGTAGAACCATAAGGTAGCCAAAACTATAGCTGATCCTGACGGATAATCACATGCAGAGTTTAGAAATGGGGGACATGGCTCTCCTCATTCTCTAACTGTAATCTCTGACCCCTCTCAAATGATCTTCCCAGAAATTGTGAAACCTACCCAGCTTATTTGTGCTTGACATCTTGATGATTTAAGATCAAATTCTGAGAACCTGGGTTAAATATGAAAACAGCTTTTCTCCATTGTTCCTTGCTCCATATGAAGGGAAGTGCATCCCATCTACAGCTGAAACAACAGCACAGAAGTTGTCTCTCTCTCTCTCTCTCTCTCTCTCTCTCTCTCTCACACACACACACACACACAGAGAGAGAGAGAGAGAGAGAGAGAGAGAGAGAGTCTGATGACAGAGGCAGGAAGGCAAAATCTTAGTAGTCTGCATATGCAAAGCAGTCTGCATATATATCTTGGTAGAGATGGGCAAAGTAGTCACTTTTGCACACATTAATCCAATATATCCAAATATAAATAGCTAAAGCGATTTTTGGTAATCTGCATACTATCCCTTGCTTTTTCTTGTAGGACTAATTGCAGTCCTTAACAGTTGCCAACAGGTTTACCATACCCATTGAGTCAATCACCCATCTCCTACTACCCTTCTTAGAAAACCCCCACCCCACCCTCTATAAGGGTCTGGTGACTTCTGTTTCAGTGTATCTGAAGAAGTGTGCATGTACACAAAAGCAGAACAAACTTAGTTGGTCTCTAAGGTGCTACTGGACAATTTTTTAATGAAAAAGATGGTGTGCCCTGGGAGAAGATGACATATGGGAACTCCCACAAAATTCCAGAATTGAATCTTCACTTGTGGTTTGTTTGGGGGGAAACATAAACATGGGCTTAGGTTCAGAGACATGGCAGGAGTAAGGGCTCAGCATTACGGGAACTTCTCTGTAGCACTGTTCCTTCCGATTAAACCATGGTTTGGTTGGAACAACCCATGTGCAAACGCAGCTCATGGGACTGACATTGGAGGCAGGAAAGTGGCACCCTTCCCTCTGGAATCCACATTCATCAATTGTTTCGCCTTGATGTCATCAGATGACAAAAACCTGGATGTATCTGAACCCAAAGAAGTCAGTGAAATGTAGTTTAAATTCATTATAGTATTGTTTCCTACTGACATTTGTTATTTCTAAGGCTGTATCAATATTTTTCAAGGCATGATTCAAACCAGCATGCAATTAATTGTGGCATGTCAAATCAGTTGCGGTTTGGCACCTGATCTATTCATCTGGAACTCTTGACTACATGCAAACACAAATGCTAATTAACCGTAGCCCTCTCTCACACAATATGTTCCAATACATTTACGTCGTGCACATTATACTCAGCTCAGGCAACTTTACTCCCAGGCTAGTGTGCTGAGGATTGCTGCCTTCATTCCTCAAATCAGCGCAGCTCCCCATTCACACAGCTCCAGGGAAGTTTCCATGTCGCCCTTTAACACATAGTCCTTTCTCAGTGTGGTTAGTTAGGGCTGTATTTCCCCCCATCACCACCACCACCAATAGCACTGTGGTGGTGCTCTAAAAGAAACAAGGTCTCTTTTCCAGGAGGCTGCTGCTTTTTGTTTCAATTAGCTATTCGCTGCCCTTTTGGTTTGACGTCACAGTGGGTTCGTGATTGAGCTGGCATGTATATCCATTTCCTTGGGTGTTCTTGGCAGCGTTGCCACCCAGATGCCAGCCTCTGAATGGTCATCCCCCCCCCCCCCCGCCACTTTCTAGGAGAAGCATCAATGCCGTGGCTTCTTCCTGGTTGGCCTCCTGTCAAGTTCCTTTTTAAAAAATTGTTGTTATTTTGGCCTTCTCTACTGTTTCTGTAACGACAGCTGCAGAACTGGGTTCAGATTCAGCCAGTTGGTAGTTGGTTTGCTTTGCTAGATACTGTTTTATTGGGAGCGAAGGGTTTTTGGAAACCCTTTTGGAAACATATAAATTGCTCACAGAATCCCAGACAGGTCACCAAAAATATTTCTCTCCTTTAAAAGATTCTTGTCCTGTGTTCCAGAAGGAAAAATACATATAAACTACCTGCAACATTACCTGTTTGGCATCCAGAAAACTATCAGAGAAATCATCTGTGTATGAAATGAAGGGTTGAGCCAAATCCTTCCGTTACTTGGGGCATTTCACACATGACTTAAAGTGCTTTCCCTAGCTTAAATTGGTGTGTAATGCAAGTGTGCATTGGTCAGAATGCACATTTGTGCAAAGATCAGCTCTCTTTCACTTTGTATTCCATATTAACCGTGTACATTTATTCATACAAACAAGATGAAAGGGACTAGAGGGATTTAAGCATCAGATACATAAACACATATAAAAGTTGCTAATTGATCACAAAAAACCATAAGAAACTTTGGTTGGGGATGAACAATAATTTTGAAGAAATGTGAACTAAATTTGAGTGGTATGATATAGGCATCCTTAGTCTTGGTGTACACATACACATTCTTGCTGTGACAATTATTACAGGATATATAATAGTTATTATAGGAATATAGCAACATAAAGCAGGTTTTTCTCAGCCAGAACTCACCAGAACTCAGTTCCAGTACCTCTCAGGTGAGCACCATTGCCATTATAACTGAACAAGGAAGGTTTCTTTTTGAGTTCTGGCACCTCTTTTTCTAGAAAAATAGCACTGCAATAAAGAATAATATGTTGTTTCATTCTCTGCCTTGCAACCTGCAGGAGCGCTTCCCACAAGAGAAACAGGTGATCATTGCAAAGAATCCTGCAATGACCACTCCCCTTGTGTTTGTTCTCCTTCTGCTGGGGACTTCTCAATGGAAGACTGGTGGAGCATCTCTCGTCTGCAGGGGGCCCTCTGCTGGGCTGTGGTTAGTCCAACCCCTGACACTGGTCCTACACTCCCTCTGAGGAGTGCTAATCCCTCTGCCCACTTTTGGTCTGCTCCTCAACTTCACTTTTATTCCAGTTCCAGTTCTGATACCAGAAGGGAGCCAAGGCGGAAGAAAAGCGGATGGGGAGAAGAGATCCAGAGAGGTGGGGCAGGGAGGTGGCAGGCAAGGAAAAGGTTTAGTGTCCCTCACCCCTTTTGCTCTTGAAGTTGGGCTCCCATGCCTTATTTTTTATGTGATGGGACAGAGCCACATTTAAACACATGGATCTGCACTGTCAGCTTTAGCCTTTGATACACATCAGGCAACAGCCAAGTCCTGGCTGGTGCCCCACATGAACTGACAATGCCCCGGAACCCACTGCATTGCACCAAAGTCTCTTCCACTATGGTGTACATCCCTACATCCAAGCTGCTAGGACGTAGTTGGCAAATGAACTGGTGTGGATAGTGCTTCCTTCCACTAGAAAACCTGGGCCACCCCACTACTGCTCTAGACCATGGCCATCATTACCCTCACAAAATGCTGCACTTGCTTGCTATGCTTTGGTTTGCATGCTGGTTTAATGCCTTTTGCTTTTGTGCTGCTTCTGCAGCCTGAACCTCAGCTGCACTTCACCAGATGCATGCAGCCCAAGCACTGCTTTGTGGCCTCCAACTGGCCCATAACAACCTGATTTCCTGTGTTTGCAACGTCTGTCCTCTGCAAGTATGTCATAACGTGCTGGTAACAATAACATTTTCTGAGATCTAAATGGGTTGCAGGCCAATAAAACTGAAATCAACCAATGCCTGGGAAAAGCAAACCAGGGAAAGATATTGTTTCTGACTGCGGTCCAAGAAACTCTTGGCACCCCCAACATCCTTTGCTCTACTTCCAGGAAAAAATTATTCCTGCGTATTTGTGTTAATTTGCTTTAAGCTAGTTTATATCAATAAACACGATAACTGCTGCATTTGTCTCTCTCGGGTCAGGTCACGGCAGCTTCTCCCCCAGGCACTTTCGCACAGTGCGGCTGTCCTGAGCTAGAGCCCTTTGGCCCCCTCTATTATGGACTGGGCAGGGTCCCCTCTGCCCCCTGGCTGGGAACCTCATAGGCCACTTTGGCCAAAGCAGTGGAGCCACCATTGCAGCAGAGCCAGTGGGAAGGAGAAGGATATTGCACAAACCTTCAGTTCCTAAGCAGACCTTTCATAGCACAGAATAAAGGAGGCCCTTGTGGGGTGCAGGGGGCTCTCTTTGTGAATGCCAGGAAGAAAAGATAGAAACCCTCAGATTTTATCAATTTCATTCATAATTTTAACTTTTTCAAGAAATATGGCAGTGCACCTATTCAGGTACAAGAGCAAGCTGGGTATTTATTTTTTGCTTAAATCTTAAAATGTAGTAGACCTTTGCTCATTTCCTAAGGGTTTTTCTTTCCGACTCTTAGCTAGTGGTTGGTTTCCATCTCACTTACACGGTGTGTAATTTCAGACAGCACTTTTGTTTTTATGATAGACATTTGAAGTGAACTGCTGGGGAATAAACAGCTGATTTCATTTCTGGATTATGTCTCTCTTCAAAAATGTCTTATTTGTAGTTAAGATTTTAAAGCTGCTTCGGGGAGGGTTGGTGAGGAAAGAGCAGGAAGGCTGCAATCTGAAACACTCTTGCTCCGCTAGAATAAAAAAGTTTAAAGTACTGCAGCCAAAATCATGGTCATATATTTGGCGGGGGGGAGGATGGTGAGCATATTGCTCAGGGTGACGGGGAGGCAGGAAACAGATGATTGCATAGAATATATGTGGTGCTCCAAAAACCTATACATTGCTCTGACAATAATTCTTTGCAGTGAGAAATAGATGTTAAATTCTGACACCATAAAGAACATTTAAATTGGTTTCTACAACCTTTCCTACATCCCTTTCCCCCTTTTCGTAGTGCTGTGTTCTGTGCTGAGGCAAGATTTGAATCATGCCTTTACATGTAAAGGAATATGGATAGCTTCCCAGTGTTCACTGCAGATGGGGGACATCCAGGGTTAATGTCAGCAAGGAAAAGGAGAGTGCTCTGCAGTGCAACTGACTACCTCAACAAGGTGCCCTCCAGGTGATTTGAACCCTTCTGGGATAGCTCAGTTGGTAGAGCATGAGATTCTTAATCTCAGGGTTGTTCAAGACCCACCTTGCCCAAAGATTCCTGCATTGCAGGGGGTTGGACTAAATGAGCCTCATGGTCCCTTCCAACTCTACAATTCTGTGATTCTGTGGATTCTCATTGTCCCTGACCACTGGGCCACGCTGGCAGGGGCTAATGGGAGTTGTAGTCCAAAACATCTGGAGGACACCAAGTAGGGAAAGCTGTTGTGCAGGCCATGCTATCTTTGAAGGTGACTCAGAAGCTGCAACTAATCCAGAATGCGGAAGCTAGACTGGTGACTGGGAGCAGCCGCTGGGTCCTGAAAAACCTACATTGGCTCCCAGTACTTTCTCAGCACAGTTCAATGTGTTGGTGCTGACCTTTAAAGCCCTAAAGGGCCTTGGCACTATATACATGTAGAAGCATCTCCACCCCCATGTTTGGCCCAGACATTGAGATCCAGCTCTAAGAGCCTTCTGGCGTGAAGTGAAGTTACAGGGAACCAGACAGAGGGCCTTCTTGGTAGTGGCACCCACCCTGTGGAACACCCTCCCAGCAGATGTCAAGGTGATGAGTAACTGTATAACCTTTAGAAGACTGCTGTATAGGCAGCCCTGTATAGGGAAGCTTTTGAAAGTTTAAAGTTTTATTATGTTTTCATATATGTTGGAAGCCACCTAGAGTGGCTGAGAAAACCAAGTCAGATGGGGTAGTAATAATAATAATAATAATAATAATAATAATAATAATATCAATATCATCATCTGAGGATTCCCAGATCTAACTTTGGTGGCTCTCGACAATTTTGCTATTTCAACAGCCCACTTATCCTGAGAGTCTGGCAATATGCAAATATTTTAAATGGTAAGCCACATGGGAGACAGATTACTGTTAAACATTCACCCTTTGCCTTTTTAATTTGTATGTGGTACCCGGTGATTCTATGTGTTTTAAGAATATGTGGCAATGATCAACATCGAATGTTCTTTAATCAGTGGGCAGCCGTCTGTAAAAGTTCTCTGTTCATCTCCTAACCTACAATGTTTAAAATGGCTGCATATTGCTATGGTTTCATGTGTCTTTGGACCAGAGCTGCATTTCAGTTCACATTTACATGAATGTATGCCTGTGCTTACCTTCCTTATGCAGAGACCCTTGGAAAAGCCCGACGGCCTGGATGTTTCTGATCAAAGTAAAGAACACCCTCAGCATCTCTGTGAGAAATGTAAAGTGTTGGGGTACTACTGCCGCCGTGTGCAATAAATCAACACAAGGATCGCCTCTGCCACCACGTTTTTAGATCCTCTGGCAGCAAACAGTCAAAAGGAAAGAGGAGGGGAGGAAAAAAGAACATCAGACAAGAACCCCAAACATCACCAATATTGCCTATCAACAAACTAATAATACGCCTTACCTTTAATAGAATGTAACCCTTTTCCTGTGTATGTGTATACGTGCAAGTTGTATTTATAGGACTATGGTGTGTTTATATATATATATATGAAACAGATGTTACTGATGTAGGGCACAATCATCAAGCGCTGCTGCTGCTGTACGACCGCCGTCCTTTCCTGACAGTCTTGCATAACAGCCTCACACAAGCCAGATTAAAACAGGTGGGGGGGTGGTTGTGCAGTAGCAGTTTTTGCTGGGCTGTGCCCATCATGTTCGTGATGAAATCACCGACGTGGTTTCTGTTGATTGTTTACACAGTTCCAATATCCTGCCCAGGTGAAACAGTATTGTTTGTCAAGAGAGGTATATAATAACGTCATGGCTTTTGCAGGCATTAGACAAAATGGGTGGAAATGTTAAATGTGGGTTCTAGCCAATGCCACAAACGATATATTTTTCTAATACAATGAGGGCTAAGCTAGAAAAAGGTGTGCATGTGTGTGTGCGTGGGAGGGGGGAATGTTCATTTTCCTTGACTTTAGGGTTGGTCTGAGAGTTGCATCTGATTGCTTGCTTTCCAAGAGTCCAGGGCCACTGAAATGAGACTTTTGGTAGGCTTTTGATTAATAGAATCTTGAGGGTTAAAAAGAACAAGTGAATAATTGTTTGAGGGAGTGTTTTGCATGGAAGTATAATGGTATAGCAGGAAGGGTCAATCAGGAATTCATATTTCTTAGGCAGTAGTCTTAAGCATTCTTCCTCAGAAGAAGTTCCACTGAAATCCATAAGGCTACTTTTGAGCAAATGCGCTTAGGATGCATTTGTTGTTTCAGGGCGTTGTTGACCAATACCGTTCCCTTGTCACAATTTCTAAAGCTTCTCCTTCCTTTCTTTATGTACTTGCTATGCAAGTGGTGGCTGAAATTCCTACTGTTGTGAATGCCACATAACCAACCACCTTATATAGCCAACACGATAAATTCAACTTTCTTTGTCTCACCATAGCAGGCTATCCCAAGCCCTCCCTGCCCCATTATAATTCTCATTCACATACTCTGTAGTGCAGTTTGGCCCTTTGCTCCTTTTAGAGCAAAGACCCTACAGTTAGATTTTTCCTGCAGTGAAATGAGGTGTCACTAACTGATCTGCTCACACACTATGTTCAAGATGTACGTACTCTCCACATCTAAAGACACACATCAGCTCCCTAAACAATAGATAGTGGGAGCTTCCCTGTAACCCTTCAGTGGTTCCTAAACAAAAAATATTGTTGATGTATTCATTTAGGAGCTCTGTTTGAACTGTGCTTGAGCCACACATGACTTAAAGACAGTGATGGCGGAGGGCAGGAATGGATAGACACTTGGGACTTGCCAAGCAATATGGCACCAACAATTTTGCCTACATTATAAATGAAGGAAATTTCATACGTTACACCCCTCAAGTAGATAGGGTCCACTGAAAATTGTTGTGGCATGGTGGTACTCTGCACAAAGCATGTTTGTAATCAAGCTCATCACAAAAAGGCTCTTGCAGAGCAATGTAATAGTTCAGAAGCTCAGTTCAGTTCGCAACAGCAGACCCTATGAGTTTGCAAAATGGTTATGGAGAATCCTCATGTGCCACTACGCCAAAGATTTTTGGTGGGGGCCATAACTCCTTAATCAGCCTTGAGCTTAGAATAGCAGAAAAGCATGATGGGAGTTTGGGACAAGGAACACCTCATTCACTTGCTTTCATCACTGCTTATAAGCTTCTATGTGGCCTACTTTTTGTTACACATAAGACCAAAAAAAGCTCAATCACAAGACTGAGCACCCAAACTGTTTAGAATACCCAAACCATATTGCATGCCGTTACAGGGTTGCTACTTCAACATCACTGCAGAATATATGCCAGAACAAATATTTAGGACCAGGGTGGGCAGAGGTAAATTTACTGTGAATCATGGGAGACGTATTCTCCATACCTTAACTGAATATATATATATACTTGGGCCTACTTATTGTGTATTCAGTGACACTTTCAGGAAACAACTACACCAATTTCCTATTAAATATCAAATAATATATCTAAGTAGCCATAGGGATATCATAGGAATGCATAAAGGAAATTCCACTGCAAAGCTGTCCCTTCTTCCTATCTTCCAAAACATTACTATATTAGTTTAGGGGAAATGTAATAATTGCACCAAGTGAGAGAATTTTCAAGTGTTATTTGTGAAGCAGATATATTATTGGAGCTGCTCTAACTCCTTTCTGTATTATGTATTAAATTTAAGAGCAGGGATAAAGCAGTGACTGGACCATTTGCCTGCACAACCTGTTTCTGCAGAGAATCACAGGTGGACTGTGGCTCTGGATAGTATTCACTTGAGATGATCTTCAACGGGAATGTTTTTGTTCCTGGCAAAGCAGGATAATTTCTGTGTCAAATCATCTCATGTCAGATCAGCTAGGGATGATGCCATGTTATCCATACTTGCAGTGAGTATTTCTATCAGCAGTAGCAGTGAAGTGCTTCACTGATTATCATCATGTATAAAAAAACAATACTTAAAAGATGTTTCACATCTGGAACTCAGTAGGGTAATAGTGGGCTGCAGGGCAAAGAGAGTTTGGGCAGATCGTCAACCATCATTGCAGTGGTCCAGAAGCTCAGTCACCTTCCATTCCCGTGGTAAACACAGGAATTTGTCTTATGCTGAGTCAGGCTGGCAGCAACTCTCAAGGATCTCAGGCAGTAAACACTTTCCTCCAGACTTATGCATATCCCCTACCACTGAGCTATGGTCCCACCTGTGGGATGTGGGCCTAAAGGCAGACAGTGGTTTTGAAGAGCATTGAAAGTGCTATGGTGAAGGTGTATTTTTCACTGTTACATTGGCCAAAGAGATGTTGCAGGTTTCTGAAGCACTATGAAACCTGCCAAACCTCTTTAACAAAACTGGATACACCATGAGAAATTATGCTTCTCATACCACCACCAACACTCTGAAAATAATTGCTGTGTATCCTGGTTCCATGCCACAGTGGTTAGGAGCAGAGGACACCAGCACTTAAGTACAACCGCAAGCCAATCTGAAGCTGAATGTGGCAGAGCTCTTTAAAGAAACAGGTGCACTCTTTCTAAATCCATTAGTAGAAGCCCTATTCCAGCAACAAATTTCATTGTGAACCTGTCATGATGTTGCCAAAAACGTAAATTCCTTGTATTTTCTAATGTCCATTAAGCAAATAAGTCTCATATGGATGGCAGGCGGTATTCATTCAGAATCCGTGGAAATTAATTAACTTAATTTAAATAGTTTATAGCACCATCTAGCAGCACTGCGTGTGACTGTGCCTCAGTATCTCTGGGCTAGATCCTGCAATAATGACTGATTTTATCAACTTTGACAAGTCATGAATTCTCCCTAGGCCTCAATAAAATTGGTGTGACATGAATCACCATGCCTACCTTCAGTGGGTATTATGAATTCTGTCAAATACAACTGTAGAGCCAGTGTGGCTTTTGTTTTCAAATAGTTCCCTGAGTGACGTATGAGTGACTCAGTGGTCACTTGAAGATATTGTGATTATACAAAAGCAAGGGATCAGGCCATTTCTGCATCAGATATTGTTTACATGGGCAGTAATCCTGAGACAGAAACCCCTGAACT